TAAAATATATAATATAATAAATTTTTAAATATATATATATAATATATATATATAATATTACAACATATAATAATATATAAATATATATACATAAATATATAATTATATACAACAACAAATATATAAATAATAACAAATATATAAAAAATTACATATATATAAATAAACAAAAAAAAATATATATATAATATAAATATATATATACAAAATATATAATACAAAAATAATACAAATATAATATATAAAACCATATATATATATAATATAATATATAAAAACATTATAAAATATATATATATATATATATATACATATACATAAATATATATATATATATATAACAAAAATTTTAAAATAAACATAATAAACAATAACATAAAAAAAATAATAATACAAACACAAACACAAACACACACACACACAACACACACAAACAAAACACACACACACACACACAACACACACACACAACACACAAATACATACAATAAAAATACATAACAACAAAAATAAACAATACAATATACACACAATTGTATTATCTTTACGATTATCGAGTGTGCAGTAAAGGTTATGTTTCAAATTATGGAGGCTACTGAATAGAAATAATTGTGGATCCGAATGCGGCTATCATTACACCACTTCGAAAATGTCACTGACACTGAATCATCCAAGGGCCTCAGATATCATTTATATGACATCCTATATAAAGTAATGCATACTTATAACGGTTTATTAACTATAGCTTAGATGTGGCATAAGGCTGAAAGCGTGGAGCGCCCAATGAGGATCAAAGTTCCCCAGACATCAAACCCCATAAGTTTGTATGCTCTTAGATAGGTTTTTGGTTTCCAAAATTTGAAAAAATGTCCAAGTGTTATATTTTACTATTATTATTGCGTGACAATCAGTACAATTACCTTTTACTTTTTTTCTCCATGTTTGAAAGCAATCTTCAGGCCATGTATATTGTGTTTTGGCTCGACCATTTATATATGCTGGTCAATTGTACACTATGGGTAATAAGGTTTGTTGTTTGTTTCAAATTATGGAGGCTACTGAGTAAAAATAATTGTGGATCCGAATGCGGCTATTTGAAGCTATTTTGTAATGTTGTTTGTTAATATTTCACATATTACTTATTATTGATTACTTAATTATTTGTTGTTCATTATTATTATTACAGTTATATGTTCATCCGTAGTTTGTTTTATTATTTACTTTATTTCTATATTATTTATATTTTTATCGGGGATTGGTTATCTTATTTGTTTAGTTTAATGGAATGACTTCATCTAAAATATGTTCCATTATCTGTATTGTATATAGTGCATATATTTGTTTTTTTTTCATGGTGGTATCTTAAAAGGTATTCGTTTTTGGTTTTCGATATTTAAGTAACGTAAAAAAATTGTTTTTGTATTTGCATTCTGAAATCAGGAATTTGTGTTCGTCCAGAAAGGTGATTATAGTTATTTTCTTCCCCAAACAACGTTTACAGATTTTCTATTTATTGTTGTACAATGATGCTGTTTTCCTTATTTTCCACTATTTTTGGTGCAATTTCTTACCGAGATATATTTATTAAACATTGTGCTGTGTATGTATTTACTATTTGTAAAGGTTGTTTTGTCTGCGCAATTTCTTTGTTTACATGGTCCTTCCGTTACTTGTAAGTATATTTTTCTTCGTTATTTGCTGATTTTATAGTGGCTTGGTATATTATATTGTTTTGCAAGCAATTGCCCTTTAAGATGCAGTCGTTATTTTCTCTATAGTTACAGGTGAATTTGGTTCAGGCACGAAGCTTGTTAGTTAATTTCCTGTTGTGCTTTTGTTATTATTTGTGTCATGCTTTCGGTGAAACTCATTCTTACTGTGTTTCAGTTTAATATCTTGTGAAGAGTGTTTGATGGAGGAAGTATTTGTTTATGAGTTTGTTGTGTCCACTAAATTATCTAATAAAATATGCAATATATTTGTTTTTTGCTGTACAGTAGGTTGGACCATAGGAGTTTTCCTTTCCTGTTGGATTTTTGCACTGTATAGTGTGCATTGCCGAAAAATCCATTATCTTTTAGGGCTGTTTCATTTTTTTAATTTTTTTTATTTTCTTCGTTGAATATGGCTTCGCTGGAAGAATTGTCAGATAACCCGCAGTTGTTTGTGGGATCTACTTGATTATTGTTGGTGGGTGGGTGGAAAATGTGTGTATGTAAGTTTTCTGCGGTTGAGTGTGACATCTAAGAAATTTACTGATTTTATAATTGTTTTATGTCAACTTTTCATGTTGAAAATGTATACGTATAAGCCCACTGGTTTCTGCACCATTAAACCTACCCATTGTAAGGGTTATTTATATTTACATACACACTATCTCTGATATTGAGTACTCTAATCCATAAATACAACATACCTTAAAACTTTATATTATGTGAACGCCATCCATTGCATTATTGGTGAAATAATCAATTATATTAGACAGTATGCCATTACCCAAGTTAATAACTATACTTACAACTTACAATACTGTCAATTCAGATGCCATTAGAATATTTAAAAAGAATATATTCGTACATATGTTAAAAGTCTTAACAATTTACGAAGTTGAAGATCCGAGCAATTATTCTTTTATTCCCAAGAGAGAATATGGGGATTTTTCCATAATAAAAATTATAATATCTCTTTAGGTATACAATAAAATGAACTCTAATTCAGTTTGAAATTGAAAAAAGATAGACGTTACAGGAGAATAATAATAATAGGCAGTAGGTGGCTAGACGTCAGAAGGGGATGGCCATCACGCGTGACGGGAGTCGGCTGTCGGAGGACATCAGATATGAAGCAGGCAAAGCTGGCTGCAGAAAAGTTTTAGGCTTCCACGCGTGAAATCGCCAGCAGCGCAAAAAAAAAGTTTCGGTATTCTTAAAAGCTACCCCGGTGAAAGACATTTCACAACAGCGTAAAACGTTCCGGAGAATCTCGCGGGAAAAGAAAGGCAAAGGGATCATTTAATGATCCCACTTGGACCACGTGGGACCAAAACAGAATGAAAACTGAACTTCAACGGTTTTCCTATCACTGTCTCAAAGTTTTTTTCTTACATGATTTGAAAAAAAAAATTGTATTACGAATCTTTTTAGAGCCAATTATTTTCATAATTTTGTAATTTTATCCTTAATAAGACGCATAGAAAGAATTTTTTGTGCAAGCCTTTTTTGTAAAATTTGTACTTTGTTATATTGTTTTGTGTCTGTATATGTTTGCACCTTTCAAATTTCACGCGGTCGTTCTGTAGCAGAATGAAAATAAATAAAATAATAATAAAAAAATAAAGAATTTCATTTTACCATAATAATGCAAAAGTAAAAATAAATCGCAAAAGGTTTCCAGTCAAGGATGAATTTTATGACCCCACTTTTGGAAAGGACATGATCGGTCTCTTTCATCACCCAACCATTGTGTTCGGACATGTTTGGTAATCGTGCCCACGAAGAGGAGATTCGGCCACACTCACTAAACGTCAGGCTAACTTGAGGTTGACCATTCTATACACATTCGCATCTTTGTACCTACATGCATCAATAAACATTAGCGATTCATTTTCTATTCAAGTCTTCGTTTTGTTATTGCTGTCCACCGACATTCAAAATCTATTAGCGGTACGAAGTCAAATACAACTCTTCACAGCTTAAAAGCCGCCCTACTGGGCAGCATTTAAGCTAGCTCCCGTGGAGGACTCTTGGTTTGGCCATCATCACAATAGCTAGGGAGGAGTAGATGCGATAGGCATCAATAAACTATAGAAGAACTCAAAAATTGACCGTTGCATTTAAGTATTGAATTAATGTTTAAGCTTACCTTTTAATATTAATATTTTGTAATTTTATCCTTAATAAGACGCATAGAAAGAATTTTTTGTGCAAGCCTTTTTTGTAAAAAAATAACGAAAGTATAATAAGAATGGCTGCTGTATTCTCCTGATTCTTCTGGTGCCACTTAATTTAAAGAAGATTTGATGTACGTAGATCCTTATTTTCCGTAGAAAAAAAATATTTTTATTTCATGGGTGACAGAACAGGGACAATTTATAAGATAAAAATTAATACAGTGTAAAGATGGGAAAATAGAAATAGAATTAGTTATTCATTCAACATTTGAAGAGTTAGAGAAACATAATAGCTAATTAAGTAAAACCTATATTATAGAACCTATACGAATAAGTGAGAAATTGGAGCTCAATTCTCCCTGAATTCTGAGATTAAAAGTCCCAGCTCTACTTTACCAAAGGTATTTACTAGAAAACGGAGTCAGGTTGTGACACAAGGTCGGTTTAATGTGGGGAACTCGTTTCGCGTACACTTGGGCTGGGACAAAAATTCCCGTGTCCTCGCAATTGCCGGTTGCGAAATTCCTTTTGTGCGTTACCGACCCCCTCTCTGGTGCAATGAAAGGGTGCAGCCTTGGTCATCTGCGCCAGGGCTGGGCGTTTCACAGTGTGATTTTCCCCGATTGCGCCTCTGTCCTCTGACAGAGCCGCAACTGAATCACACTTTCCCGAAGGCAGAGACGCAACTAAGAGATGATGAATAAAAACGTGTGAACACTACTTTATATAGTAATTTGAGATTTATTCTGAACAATACAAAATTGTGGCACAAGGACTATGGAGAAATAGGGAGAGACTGGTTTCATTAGCTATCCTAGTCATAGTTAATCCGACTCACAAACCAAATTATTCAATATTATTTGCACATGCAACACAAGAACACATCCATCACCTGCATCCTGTATATACCACAGTACCGCATTTCACAGGGGACCTACAAAACACCCCATGATATAAAAATTTGAAAGGCTATAAAATTCGTTTTTTGTTGAAATATATAAAAATTTCATGATTTCATAAAATGATGGGGGTGGGGCGATGAACCCAGAAAACAAACTAAAAATGCAGCACAAAGACAAAACTAAAACAAAACAATATTAGTAGGACCCGTCCACCCTTTAAAATAATAAGAATGGCTGCTGTATTCTCCCGATAGACAGAATCAAGAAGCACACTCACTAATTGAGTGGTGAAGTGAAAAATAAACGACGGAATGGGAAAATCAAAGGTTGACCCAATCAAGATAAAAAAAAATGGGGGACAAAAACGAACTGGGGAGATTGAAAATCTCAACATGGGCCATAATAAAAGATAGTATCGGGAAACAGGCCGGGAATAAAATTTATTCACATTGACGAGGAAAACATAATAGTGTCTGACTTAACCAGGGGAGAACTCACAGGAAACCGCCCCGTTGCATCAAGGGACTTAAATTCAGAAAATCAAACAGCCCCATCCACACGAACAAGGCTCGCCTCAGTTACCCACCTTTCGCTGAAATTTGTCGAAATCAAACGCTTTCTATCAGATCTGATTTTTACTCTAAGCTTTGCTTAAAGAAAACAACCAGATTCTGATGCGAATAACGTTCATCTCGCAAGATTCCCTTCTTTCGCGACGTCCACACCACCATTTATGCCACGGCTAGCGACGTAAAAACACCACCCGTTTTACTGCGGAGAACGAGGGTGACACATTGTCACACGCGTACGCGAGATCGATGGTCACGAGCTGATCGGGAGCCGGACATACAGAGGATCCTTCGCGAACCCTCCACTAATTCTCGATACAATAGCCTTGTAGGCCTTCAAGGCCGATCGACACTCGCTGAGGAAAATCGACAACCTTTCACGACCGCGACGGCGCTTAACCCAATGAATGGGAGGAGTGATGGTAAAGTAAGGAAGGCGTCCCTAACATTCTGCGCCAAAATCGAGTCCTCTGTCAAAACGCGGCGTAGCAAAGTCAACGTTGAGGCGTGTCGATGACTCGCTAAGTGTGGCAATCTCAGCCTCCCATGTCACGGACGCTGGAAACAGGCTTCTTTACGGACCCAATGTTTGTGACCACCCCACAAAAGGGTGGTCAACAAACGCTCGATCACCTCCATACAGGTCCTGCAAAGAGGAAGTACAGCTAAGTAGTAAAGGATGAGAGGCAAAACGTAAGTGGCACACGCTTCAAGTTTACCTAAGAATGTGGACGGGTCCATTAGTCCAACCAGAGGACCCCGGAAGCGCGACCCACTTCCAAGCACCTAACCGTAAGCCGGAAAACTTGTTACGGTTAATCTTGGCCCCCGTCACCTTCTCGTACCGTTCAAGCGCCTTCTGTACCACTTTAATGTCGCTGCGGCATGACACGAAAATCGATACATCGGCGTACACAGAAACCCTGACGAGCTCCAGCAAGGACAGCGATTCCGCGTAGTGAGTGGGGAGCACGCTTCCGGCTAATGTTTTTTCAGCCTCCTCCGTTGCCAGCAGGATATCCCACGTGGCATTTGACCAACACCTTGAACACAATGTTCAAGGCCTTGATGGCCTCTTTCATCCTCTCTGTTGATAGCAATAATTTCTCGCGTTTTGACGTCAGCCGTCAACAGGGAGATGGTTCTTGTAGTGACTGCCTCAATCACAGAAGGAACCGGCAAAAGTTCGTGGCCTCTCTCAGGCTCTTGAAGTAGTCTGGGTCTTTCCGTCGCCCATGCTAATCTAGACGGTGGTGTGGCAAATAGCTCTTTTTCCTGGGAAGCACCCGCCACAGAGGAGTGTTATTTGCCTGACACGTTTTAAATCAAACAGCAATAATCAGAACAGTACAACAAATAGTGCTGACAAACACAAAACAATATCAGACGTCAACGAAAAAATTCTTCTTAGGCGCAGTCTACATATGTATATTTTCGCTGCAGAAAGTTACAATTAGCATCCAGATGCCAGACGAAAAGTAAATTGGGTCGTAACTGAATACCGATCCCACAAACAAAAGTACTCACAACACGGAAGCGAGCTGTAACTCAATACAGACCAAAGACCATCATGATAACTCTGGCTAAACAGCACTTTATTGAAAAAATAGACACCAGAAAGAATAAAAAAAACTAGCATGAAAAGAAAAGAGAAAGAATCCTTTCCCTAATTTAGTAGCTATGACCATATTATATGGTGGCGTGAGCCATAGGATTTCCTAGCCCTATTCTCTCCCCTATTACGGACATTAGATGTTTCATCCGTGTTGGGTATCAAACAAAAACCAAACTAATTTAAAAATTAGATTATCTGGATATTACAGTTAACTTGTGCAACGGCACCGTATGTCGGATTAAGAAAAAACAACCAATACCCATGTTGCATTAACGTAATTTCTAATTACCCTAGAGAATTTTTTAAACATATCCCTAATGGCATTATGTTTAGATTATCTACCAATTCTTCTAATATCAACATCTTTAACCAAAGCAAATATGATTCTGAGCTGGCGTTAAAAAATTAACGGTTATAAAACCAAGCTTGTTTATAAAATCATGAAAGAAATATTCAATGTACGACAGACATAAAAATGTTTGCTTTACTTGAATAATGGGGTATTTTTTCCGGGGGGTTACCAATATAATCTTTTGGCCTACTCTCCTTTGTTTTCCTATCTTGTTTTTATGCTAATTTTTTATTCTTTCTAGTGGCCGTTTTTTTTTTCAATAAAATGTCGTTTGGGCCAACCCTTTTTAGCCAGAGGATCCGTTAGCTGAAACCTAAGTAGATAGGTTCTGGCTCATTTTTTTTAGTTTTTGCTCTACTTAGTATATTGAACACTTTTACGTTTTAAACTTAAGTTACTCTGTCGGTGTTTTTTTTTTTTTTGGCTTGACATTGCGGTGCTGATTGATTATTTGCAAGTGGCACGGATATTTTCAGTCTTTTCTTTTTTTATTGAATTTTTTTTCCCAGATATCAATTTGTAATTTATTCAATATATATATATATATATATCGTTATTTCATTATTTTACATTTTAAACATTAAATGTAAAACAAAATGATCCACGATGAAAAATATATGAAGCAATTAAAAAGGAAGAAACTTTCGAAAGATT